CTCACCAAGCAACGCATCTATTTGCATTTTCCACCATGCAAAATCAGTACCGTTGAACTTCTCGATTCGAACCCTCCCGTCCTCAGTCATTGCAAAACGAGAGAAAAAAAACCAGAGAAAAAATCAAAGAATAACGGCCTGAAACCAAGCAACCTTCAAAAGAATACAAACCCTAAAACAAAGAACCCGAACCAACGAGTACCAGGTCCAAAACCAGAAACCCTAATCGCCAAGTTCACCTAAAACCGACCAAACAGCCCCTGACCAGATCCGAACCAGCCTCTGATCAGATCCGAACCAGCCCCTGATCAGATCTGAACCAGCCCCTTAACCGCGGCAGCAAAACAGCAGCAAAAACAATCCTCAACAGCCTTCTTCCTGCGATTGATCCTGTGTAACCGTGTGTTTAACCGAACCAAGGCTCTGATACCACTTGTTAGGAATCAGAGATCAGAGGCGATCAAGCGGAAGCGAACAAACACACACACAAATAGCAGAAAATAAGAACACGAGATTTAACGTGGTTCGGTCAGTAACCTACTCCACGGGTTGCAACTAGGGTTTATCTTTTATTAGGTGCTCACAGATTATAGTTACATGATTGGGTATTTATAAGATATAAATTAGGGTTAACAACTTGCTAAACAAGAAACAACTAATGGGCCCTTTAATTAATAACTAAAACCGGCCCCCCATATTTCTTCTCTTTAACCGACCGGGCTTAAAGCCCAAAGCTCTAAAGCCTTCACTAAATAACCCAACAATTTATGCAGAGGTGAGATAAATAATGTGAACCACTCAATATTTACTTTAAAAAGAATGAGAAGTTTATTTTGGGACAACCAAAAAAAGAAAGTGAGAAGTTTTTTTGGGACGGAGAGAGCATATATTTAGGTCATACAACTTAATCAGCGTATTCAGTCATTTTGGGTTTAATTTCAGCAAATTCATACTGTCATTTCAACCATGTCAGCCAAATTTCACCATTCTGGCACAAGCTCGTTCGTTCAAGTAAATATTACCTTCAATGCCTCTCTGCAAATGTATGCAATTTGGTACTCATCAAGTGGCTCATCAGTGACATTCATTAAATCTGCAACACTTCCACCCCCACAGTACTCCATCACAATCTGTTGCCAAATAAAAATGCTTCAAACATAAGTAAACCAAGCATGCATCAGTTTGATCTTGCTCATACTATCATGAATTCATTATTTTAGTACTGCCCATACAATCATGATAAAATGAAACACTCCATTTGGGAATGAATCAGCTCAAGCGCAAGTATGTGTTAAAATTATGGGACAATGCAATTGTTCATACCCAAAGATACTCCTCTCCTTGGTAGCTCCCAAGGTATCGAACAACATTTGGATGACTGCACTGTTGCAACATTTCAATTTCACCACGAATTTCTTCATAGCCTTCCTCCTTTATGCATTAAATATTTTAAAAAGTTAGTCCATAGAACAGAAAGTATGAAATGAAACCAAAAAATGACTGAATACGCTGATTAAGTTGAATGATACAATACACACCCCTTCACTCAACGATATGACTTTAATTGCAACCAGTTCTGATGTCCTCAGATCTCGAGCTTTGTACACAGCCCCATATGATCCCTTCCCTGACATTGCAAATGCCTCCCACATTCAACCACCTTGTGTGTCAGTCAATTTAACAAATAACCAACTATACATGAAAAAAGTCAATCACGGGAATGACAGAAGTACAAAACCTAACATCATTCTAATCCAAACTATAAATCATTTAATAAACATACAGTTGGAAATAAATTACTTGTTGTCACACTAATCAGTATGAGTATCTGACATAAACAAAAACCTTCCATAAGGAGACTCTACTAGACATTGGCGATGGTCCTCTATCTAAGAAGGTAGAGATCTGTTCATGCTGAAGGTTTTCCCAGTAACATGTTAGAGCAATGAGCTCTAGAATAAGCTGATAAGCGCATTTAAATTAATTAAGGGGTCACTTTAATTGCCAATTGCAGGAGTCCTGCTTGAATCAGACTATAAAGCTAATGGTGGTGATCAAGAAATCAAATTTACCAAGTTCATGGAGCAATTCGTACTTGGTAGAGGGATCTTCCCTGGTAATACTCTCTGGAATAGAACTCGAAGAGATCTTGCTCCCCCGTAATTCTTCCTCCTGTGTCCAACCACTTCCGCTTCTCCTCTGTTTAGATTGTCTTATCTCCCCCACAGCCTGCATACTAGCCACAGCTCTACTCATAGTGGATGATCCACTGGTTCCGCCACTTCCACTTTTTATAGGCCTGGTCACCACTGTCCCCGAATCAAAATCCCTCTCCTTCACCACAAACGTCGAGAAATTAACTTCATCATCTTCCTCTTCATCCTCATCATCATCATCATCATCATCCTCAAATCTCCTCCCGGCGCTTCTCTTACTCGGATCCCAATACGACGCCGGTCCGGAGCTAGGCTTTCGGAACGGAGACGACGGGTTAGAATACATCGAGCCACGGTTGGTCTTGACTATCATAGTTCCGAAAATCGAGGCCGGCTCGCTGTCGGAATCGGAACAGGAATCAATTGGACCGCCGCCGCCGAAGTCCTTAGGGAGTCGCTTGAGTAGCGGAGGCAGCGAATCGTCGTCGTTCGGATCATCATCGACGACGACGTCCTCCTTGACGACCATCGTGGCGTAGAGGTCCGAGCCATCCGTTTCTGCGGGGTCACTTATGTGCTCCCCTTCGTCGTCCGCGGTGGAGTAGATGTCCACCACCTTCGGCGGCGGCGGTTTACGGCTGCGTCGAGTCGTCGGGAAAAAGTCCATCTCTCTCAGTTTGCGTTGGACTGACCCGCGAGATGTACGGCCCAGACCAGAGTAGAAACTAGAAAGCCCACTGACAGCTGTGGACACTTAATAATTGATTCAGAGACTGTTTGACAACTTCTGAATAGGTAAGTGCTGAACCATTAAGGGGCTGTTTGTTTCAGCCTCTTAATGGTTCAGATGTCTGAATGGTTCAACACTTAATGGTTCAGACTGTTTGTTTCAGCCTCTTAATGGTTCAGATGTCTGAATGGTTAAGAGATTTGCCTCTGAATGGTTAAGTATTATACAGAGTCTGAATGGTTAAGACCTTTTATCTGAATTGATCAGACATTTGCCTCTAAATAGTTAAGCAATATACTAGCTCTTAATGGTTCAGACCTCTTACTGGTTCAGCACTTAATGGTTCAGACCTCTTACTGGTTCAGCACTTACCGATTCAGAAGTTGCCAAACAACCCCTAAGTGTTGAACCAGTAAGAGGTCTGAACCATTAAGAGCTAGTATATTGCTTGACTATTCAGAGATAAATGTCTGATCAATTCACATAAGAGGTCTTAACCATTTAAACTCTGTATAATACTTAACCATTTAGAGGCAAATGTCTAGGTCAGACATCTGAACCATTAAGAGGCTGAAACAAACAGTCTGAATCATTAAGTGCTGAACCATTCAGACATCTGAACTATTAAGAGGTTGAAATAAACAGCCCCTCAGTGTCAATGAGCGACTCCTATTATGTGGGGAGCAAGTATCCAAGTGATCTTAAAATTTCTATAAAAAACTGTGTATATCAAACTCGAAAATATTGAATCAAAAAAATTGAGAACGATTTGAATCGTAACACCAGAACAACGCGGTATGATATTCTGAAAATTTCAAACCAGACATATATACTAATATATTACAAAAATGATAATCTTTTAACGGTGGGGTCTAGTGACACCAACTTTTGGTGACACTAGCGGTGCCACTGTCATTTTGGAGCACTTCAGGTGCTCCATTTGTAAAATTGACGGTTCCTACCCCCCTAACCCACCCCCTAAGCCCCCCACCCCAACCCCATCGTAAACCCCCCATAAAATGTGTGGCAAGGGCGGAGTTGGGGTGGGGGTACAGGGGCGGGGGTAGGGTAGGGGGTTTAAGGGGTGAGTTAGGGAGGTAAAAACCGTCAATTTTACAAACGGAGCACCGAAAGTGCCCCTAAAATGATAGTGGCACCGGAGTGTCATCGTACTCCGGTGTCACTAGAACCTCTTCGATCTTTTAATATTCCTCATTAAATAATAAATTTATTTTGAACATTTCAAAACAAATGTCAATTTGACTTTTGCAAGGATACAAAAAGTAAAATTATTTGGTAGATATTTATGTATAGCCGAAAGAATTAACGTGGACTACGCATGATGGGTATAACTCATTGACACCACCCAGCAGGTTCGCAACCGCCCGGGAGGTACCTAAGTCTGCCCCTCAAGACATGGTCAACCCTGGTAGTTTGACCGGGCGGATGTTAGGGGTCAGAATCGAGAGATCGCAACTTCACCAGCAGAAGGCATGAAGACTGGCCGGTTGAAGACTAGTCGGACGAATGACTTGAGATGAATAGTAGCGACGAGACGTATTTGTGGGGTGCAATTGAAGGGGGTGAGGCGTGTTTTGGTCGGGTGGGGGGTTTATCGAGTGTTTAGGAGAGTAGGAACCTTCAATTTTATGAACGGGATACCGGACCGTCTCGGATCATCCCATGAAATAGAAAATGTACCGAGTATTACACTCTCTTTTGATGGAGGGAGAGAGGTAGAATAAAGTAAGATTAAAACTTACTTACCTTGTTTGGGGGGAGGATATCCACATAGGTAACTGGAGGTGAGGGAAGGTAGAGCGGTTAACAGTGGAATAGCTAGAATTTACGCCTTCCTTCCCCTGCCGTTCTCTTTTCTTCTCTTCCGTTTTTTTTCTTTCTTCCACTCCAGCACAGCTCTCCCTGGCCTCCTCCCATCCACTGTTCTTCTTCTTCTTTTTCTTCTTCTTCTTCTTCTTCTTCGGATCTGAAATCATCATCTGCCATGGCCGATCTTCATCTCCGGTAAGGTTTTTTTACTTTTTTTGCCAATTAAATAAAGTATGTGTTTTTTCTCTCTTTTTTCTGGTTTTTTTTCTTTTTTCGAGTTTTCTTTTTGTCATTGTTTTCCTATTTTTCTGTTTTTATTTGCTATTTGTTAAAATCAAATCTTTGAAATTGATGAAAAAGAATTTTTTTCTGTATTTTTTGTATGTTTGTTGTATTAGAAAGTTTGAAATTGATGCAAGGATTTTTTTCTGTATTTTTTGTTGTTTGTTAAAATATAATTTTATTGTTTTACACAGATCTTGCGTCGATTCATCATGGCGAATTTTCTGTAGGAGCTTGAATTGAGGTATCGGAAAGGCCTGGGTCGAAACGGATTATAGCGGCAGCCATCTCGCCCGTCCACCGTCGTTTCGCGACTTCTCCGAACGCCTGGTTCCGCCAGTCCGCCGTCTTTCAATCACTTTGCACTCTGTAGCTCCCATTCGTTCAGGGCTTCAGGTACGTGCTTCCATTCAGTTTATTTTCACCACTTATGCAGTAAATCTGGCTTTTTTTGTGGGCGGAGGTTCTTAAGATGATCATTACTATTACTCTCCTTCAGAAGGATATGCACAATGAGTAGTGGAATTTCTATTATCATAAATTCCTATTCAGCTACTCAAATTAGGTAATGGATGAGGGCCAAATATGTCCTTGTACTAGTTCAAGTAGAACCCTGAACCCGGCCTCAATTAGCTACAAGAACTATAAAATCTTCCAAAAAACTTTTTTTCCAAGTTCACTAGTTTTTTTTTTGTGCTGATTTGCCAGTAACATAGTGAGTATCAGATGGAATGCATTTTTTTCAATGGGATAAGTTAAATCGTTAAAGTTATTAACCCTATGTAAACAATGCCCACTCCGAGCCCAGTCATTGAATTGTCTTGCATCCCAATACGGTATATTTCTTGGTATTTGTATAAATGTATACGTAGTATTTGTTATATTAAGTTGTTATACAAAAAAACATAATTGGTTGGTCTCTTTCTGGTGAATATCAGTTCAATCTGTTCATTTTAGTGCATTTTTTTGCTCAGCAGTGCTACGTTTCTTCCCTTTGGCTCTGTGTAATGTGTAACTTGTTTTTTCCTTAAACACCTATGTTTCACCTTTTTCACACAAAAGAGATGGAAGAAAGAAATCAATCCAACTATTTGGATTGGTAAAGTCAACGAGTATATTCATTTTGCTTGTTTCTTTGGTCAGCTGTTGTAGGTTGGAATGCTAGGTGGTTCTCGTGTCCAACTCAAGGGCTGGCAGCGGGCTGCTGTTGCACTTGGTTCAGCAGTGGGGGCATTGTTGGACCCAAGAAGAGCTGACCTTATTGCAGCTTTAGGGGAAACCACCGGGAAACCTGCTTTTGAAAGGGTTTTGCAAAGGATGAAGAATAGTCCCGAAGGCAGGGTAAGGCTTTTGGCTTTTGGCTTTTAACTTTTTTCTGCGTTTGTGAGTTGGGGTCTGGAGGGGTAGAGAGGGGCTTATTTTGAGAATTTCTGTGAAGAGAATTATACATGGATTATGGACTTATGGTAGTTAATGATGACTATGATGGCGAGGATATACTAATCTGCTCAGAAAACTTCTCTGAGTTAAAATAATACATTATTTTAAATGAATAAAATAACATCTCCCTCGTCTTCCTCTCCAAACCCCTTCAAAACCCAACTCAGTCCAAAACATAGTCTTGGACTCTTGGTCTCCACTGGTAATATACGACAAAATATCTGCATGTTATGCATTTTTTGCAATGTGGGCTTGGTGAATGCCGATAGGTGAATCTGCGCATAATGTGCTACTGAGATCATACTGCTGATATTCATTATAGTGGTGCCAAAAGTCAATCAATTAAACTCTGTATGGTTTCATTTATGTTTTGCTGTCGGTGGTTGTGCATGTTTCAAATGGTTCTCTATTTGATCTATTACTGCATCTTAAGCCAGCATTATGGCATGCATATTATGATTTCCTGTTTTGTCGGGAGGCTTTAAGTTCTAATATTATATGTGCTGAAGCCTGAAGGGAGTTGTCAATCTTCTTGTGCGATTCCCTTCACTATCTCTATGGCAGTCTAATGTTTGTTTCCCAAGAGTGACTTTGTTGTTGGCGTGTGTGTGTTGTGTGTGTGGGTGGGGTGGGGTGGGGGGTGGGGGCACATTTCTTGTCATTTCTCTTTAATGTTTGCAGTTCAAGCCATTCATTTTAACATAATTTAATTGCCTTCTCAGGCAATCTTATCGGAGCGTCCCCGAGTAATCTCTTCTCAAGTGGGCCATGCATGGGAACTGCCAGACAACACATTTGGCGCTGCGTACGCCAAGTTCATGGGATCAAGAAACTTCTCACCTGACGACCGCCCGCCCGTCCGGTTCATGGAAACCGACGAACTGGCTTACGTGGCGATGCGGGCCCGCGAGGTTCACGACTTCTGGCACACCCTCTTCGGCCTCCCCACCAACATGATCGGGGAAACGGCGCTCAAGGTGATAGAGTTTGAGCAAATGATGCTCCCCATGTGCATGATGTCTGTGGTGGGTGGCACCGCAAGGTTCAGCGAGAGACAGAGGAGGTTGTTCTACCAGCATTACTTCCCTTGGGCTCTCCGGGCTGGTCTGAGATGCACCGACTTGATGTGCGTGTATTATGAGCGACACTTTGGTGAAGATCTGGAGGACGTTCGACGAAGATTTGGGATCGTTCCGGCTCCACCTCCGACGTCCTAAACCAACTTGTGTGTGAACTTCTGTGAAGGAGATGCAGTTTTTCCATTTCTGTTCCCAATTCACAGCCTTTTTTCTTCAATGATTATGGGGGGGTTTTGTTTTTTGGAGTGAAGAAATGAAGTGGTTGAACTTGGAAACATATATTCAAAATCATATTGAATTTGAATATGATGATTCAAAATCATCTTTCTCCTGGGTTTCTTTGCCCTGGAAACACAAGTATTGACGAGAACAGAAGTTGAAACACATATTTGAATCATTTTGAATTTGAATACTATATAATTTTTATACTACTATAATATACATTATAGTAATTTTATTTAATTGAGGTCTAAAGTTTATCAAAATTGACACATATTCATGTACATGCTTAGAATTTAAGAAAAATTCACATTAATTTTATTTAATTGAGGTCTAAAGTTTATCAAAATTGTGATCTTATGTTAGTACTTCGAAATTGAATAATTTACACTGTTGCTCTTAGAAATTGTTTAATTTTATACCAATACTTCAGGCTGCCAATTAAGCAGAATATATGACATTTTAAATGATGGCTATAAATTATTAAGTATTTGTTGGTAACTATGGAGTGTTAAAAAACAAAAGAAAATAACGTTTCTTATAAAATAAAGAATTTTTAATGTACAAATTTCATAATCAAATTTATATTCGTTGAAAGATCTTTAAAATATAAATTCTGTATTCTATCAAATTTGAATTTCTCTCATTTTAATCTGAAACACTATTTATAATTTATCCAATTAAAATACACTTTATTTTTTAGTTTTAACACATTTTTATTTCAAATCGACGTGGAGTAGGGTTAAATATAGCGCATTGAAGGTATTTTCTTTATTTTTGTAATGAATTACCAACGCATACTTAATAATTATTCAGTCACCGTTTAAAATGTCATATATTGAGCTTAATTGGCAACCTGGAGTATTGGTATAAAATTGAGTAATTTCAAGGAGCAGTGGTGTAATAATTTAGTTTCAGAGTATTCTCGTAAAATCATAAATTTATTGGAGTATTCATGTGAATTTTTTCTAGAATTTATTCTCTTTTTTTACGTTAGAGATTAATTGTCACTTACTATACTTTATAAATATATTTTTGTGAATGATCAAAAATATTTTTAAAAGAGCATATTAACATTGTTCTCATTTATTAGAAAAAGTTAATTTGAAGTATATTTTTGTTATTTCACTCATTCTTTAAATTTGAAATATTTTAAAAAGTAAAAAATATTCGGATAGCAATACATGATCATACCAATTTCTGTGTGTAAAAACAGAGTGATTGCGATCCACCCATTCTGAAATGACTCAATGGCGTGGAACTAGATCACATAAAGCGAGTTCAAGTGCGGATGTGAGTGCGCGAAATCACTAAAATATAAAAAATCACGGGTGCAGATGCACCTTAAGGCGTTAGTTAAAAAAATGAAAACACACACACAGATATGTGTGTCTATGTGTGTGTGTACTTCAAAATTACTCATATTTTTTAGTAATATTTGTTTCGAGCAATAGTATTTGTTTAGTTTGGTTAAAAAAAGTTAGTATGAAAAGAAAGCACCCCAAATAGAAGTATAAAAACTTTTATACCCGAAATAAGAATTTCATATTTTTATTTCCGAAATAAAAGTTAGCAATGTGACATTGTGACACTATATATTGTTATTTCATAATGGTTTTTGAAATTATATACAGACATTAAAATTATTGTCGGTAAAAAATATAAAATTTTTATTTTAGTACTTTCTCCATGTTTTATTCTTATTTTAGTATGTAATGCATTTTTTATCTAATTGATAATTAATGTTTGTCAAACTTGGTTGAAAAAAATTTAATATTGACAAATATTTTGAAATTGAAAATAAATTTAATAAGATATGAGTAAATTTACTATTTTGTCACCAAATAAAATTTACTCTTTTTTCATTTGACTAAAAATAAATTTTATCATTTCTTTTCTTTCTATAAAAGGGATAAATGAGCCTCGCAAGCGCACCTAAATCGCTAGTTCGTGAATCACAAAATCATAGTGCGAGCACTAAAGTTAACTAGATCGTCTTAGAGCGCCGCAAGCGCACCTAAAGCGTCAATTCGAGGACTAAGCATCATTCAATTTTTAAAAGAAGAATTATGTTACCTAGACATGGAATACTTTGGTTTTATAATTATACTCTCACTAAATTTATCTTTTCATGAGCAATAATGCAAAATTTAGACAATGAAATAGTGAAATATACGAGTTTGCCAAGGTGGGATGCTACAAAAAGTTCAAAGAAGTCTCTGTTGCAGGCATCGCCCAAGACGTAGCTCACTCGCAACGGTTGAGGTTCGCATAGGATGAATAAGTGCAAGAGAAACTTTGAAGAACAGAAAAACCCCGACATGACCGACTATTACAAGGCCTTGGGAACAACAACAACCCAATTGGGTCCCACAAGAGTAGGTTTGGAGAGGGTGTGTGTACGGTTGTACGCAGACCTTGGGTACAATTGTACAAATAGTCACAAAATCTTTTGTGTCTACCAATTTAAAACTCATCATGGTGATATTAGAGCCATTTTGAGGGGCACAAAGAGTGACAATCTTGAAGCTAGGCTACTCAGCATGCAAGTTCAACTTCTGTACCTCACAAAAGGTGCCCGCTCTCTGTCTTTTAACCCTCAGTTTGTCCATATATATCCACACTTCCTGCAGATGCTTGGTTTGCAGCGCGGTTGCTTCCAAAGTTCTTGCGATTTGATTCTCGTGCTATCCTAGAACCGAACTGTATACAGAAACATATAAATTATGATGAGAGGCTAAAGTGACACCTACCCATGGCCTTAAGTTTAAGGCCACCAGCCTCTTACAAGCACACATAGAATGATGAGGTGAAGATTTCAAAAAATAATACTCCGTAATTTTTTTCCAAAAAAAAATTATTTGGTAGGAAGGAAATTATTTTTCCAAAAAAAAATAAATTAATTGTTAAGATTTCAAAATTGATATTTAAAAATATGTTTTAAAGATAATTTTAAACTATTTTTGGCAACATGTGGGCGGGTGGCGTAGGGTGGGGTGTTGGCATTAGGGGAAAGGTTAGGGGCGGATGAAACGATTG